GGTCCCTATTAGGGGTCCCTCCCAAAGTCCCTAGAATTGTGGCTAGCTATTCTTCCTGCCAGTCCCACATGCGCACGGCAGGAAATGCCATGTCTGTGCCGAAGCTGGGAGCGTCTGCTTTACCAAACTGGCTAAGCATATGGAAAAACACGAGTGTGACCCATACTAACCGACAACAGTAAGTTGCCAAATATGAAAGGCCTGCAACAAAATCGGGTGTCGAATGTCTGCAGTTCAGCTGCGCGTGTATATGTACCTATATTTGTATGAATGAATGATTGCTTGAATGAACGAGTGAATGAACATGCATGCTTACATGCATGAATGTATGTGTGTAGACATATACCTATCCATTATCTATGCCCATTGTTCAATCCAAGTGGGTGCCTTTTTGCGTACAGGGAAAATTATTATCTTTGCTGGGCGGACGGTTTGACTAAGTATGATTTCTGCAAGATACGCGCAGAATAGGGCAATGGGGCGTTCCCGAAATTAGGGGTACCCTTGTGGGTGTCCCTACCATAATTAGTTTCCTATCTTGGGGTCTATATTGGGGTCCCCTTATTTATGGAAACTGCCATATGACCTCTATCAAACACCAGTTTTCATTTCATTTTCCATTTTCTTGTCCATTTGATTCTCATTCTTGGGGGATAATATCCCCAAACCCGAAATCCTAAACTGTAAACCGAGTCACTTCCAGGGCCTCTTCAGGGAGGGGGAGACAAGGAGGGGACTATGTAGCGGGAATGCGGTATATCTATAAGGCTTTTTTGGCGAGTCTGGTGGGAATACATTTTAGGTATATATGGCTTATGCAGCGCAGTCCGATGTAAGCAGGCTCGAGTACTACCATGCCACCACCTACAGCTACAACATGCTGCAACTATCACTTTGTCGCTCCTCCTTCCACCACTTCAAAATGTATATGTAAATGTTGGCTTTTCTGCAAGCTCACCACCCAGATACTACAGCTACCCCTATTACGACGACTAGTACTGCTACAAGTATTAATAATAATACTACTATTGCTTGTACATTTCCTAACATACCATTACCTGTACTGCAGCCCTCCTTGGCCCCGCCTTCAAATTGCACAGGCTCTGCCTCATGACGTGTGGCGAGGCCTGCCCAAGTGCTTGAGCAGGGTTTTAGGGCTCGGCGAAGGCTTCCTGATTTACCCTCCCCCAAACAAACAAGGAAGCCCACATACAGCCCCCCTTCTAAAAAGGACGGCAGTCCTTGTAGGTCATGTAAGCTTTAGGTCTTGGGACTCGAGCAGTCGAGCAGATACAGGTGGGAAACATGCCTTAAGGCTTGTCCATGGTAAGAATCGATGGCTTCTGTCAGCCAAAGAAGTAACATCAGAATCTGGAAAATGATGAGATCTTACCCCATTGCTCCGATCCTGGACATTAGCGAAGGCCATTCAGAGGGGATGTGTCTTTGGCCATTCTTGATTCTTTCCCCTAACTGAGCGTGCCAAAGAATAGCCCCCCCACCCCCAAAATACACATTTCAGGAACTGCATGGTGTCAAAACTCAGATTGGGTAACAGATGTGCTCGTAAGGGGCGATTATCTTTCTGAGGCAATTGCCAATTGCAGTCTTTGCCTCGCCTCCTCTGGATTTGATGTCTGAAGCTGATCCGTGCGTCCAGCAAGTACCAAAACAAATCGAATAAGACCACCATCCCACGACGAAGTGCTCCAACTGCAGGCATTTCAAACTGCGCCCGGATGCTGATCAAAATCAAAGGTGGATTCACCAGCTTCCCGCTTCCCATTCATTACTTCCGACCCGGCCAACTGCAGGACAACAAATGAGGGTTTCCCAAAATTAGGGGTACCTTTTGGGGGTCCCCAAAATATTATAGTATTTGGGGGTCTATATTTGGGTACCCCTATTTAGGGAAACCACCAAATCTCTCTACAAGAGCCTCTCTGAAAGGCGCTATGATGCAACCAGAAATGACTCTTCAGCCCCTGGAATGCATGTCAAGTAGACAGGCAAAAACATGACAATAACAGCCAACCTCGTCAATTACCCTATTAGATTATAATAGTTTCCATTTTATTTTCCGTTATCCCAATATAACCCCAATGTAAGCATAATGTAACCCCAATCTCTTCAACTATTCCGAGTTCCCTACCAGGGTTCATTCTTGCAGCCTTCTTGCAGGACTCGGCAGGGCAAATTCAGCTTCACCAAGGCCTGCAACACACAGACGGATGCTTAACAAAACAACTGGGATGTTCAGGGTATTTCAGTCAGGGTAACCGTAAACCAATTCCAGCGGGTACGTGGCACCCGCTTAGAACCATTTTGGGGGACTTAGGGGGTTATCTTTGGGATATCGTAGTTTCCCGAAATAAGGGGGCCCCAATATAAACCCCAAAATACTATAATCCTTCTTATGGGACCCCCAAAATGGTACCCATAATTTCAGGAAACCCCCATATATGAAGAAGCATAACTGGCTTATAAGGCTTATAATTACCCTGAACCTCCAAGTATACAGCCAGCAAGCCCAAGCCATTCTTCAAGGGCTTTAGAATCTGTAGCCCCCCCCTCGGTCGGGAAAGTTCATTCTATTTACTTCACGGGATCTAAACCCTAAAACCCCTATAGCCCTAAACCCGAAACAGGCAGAGGACCGAGGGCTTGCTGCGCGGGTTGTTGGGGAGCAGAGATTGATGATGCAAGCGGGCGCCATCAACGCTTGACCGCACTTACCGTGACAACAACTAGAATTTTGAGGACGATCCAAAGGGTCCAAAGGTAACATGAGCATGGAGAAGAAGATGATGATGATGGTGATGATGATGATAACGATAAGGATGATGCTTGGTGTGGTGCTTAAGACACAGTCGGGCGAACCCTGGCTGCGCGCACTAAGGCTGAAATCGATTCGGGCAGTGAAGAGACGAATCAATGATATCCCTAAACCCTACAGAAACCCTGCGTCACTGGACCTAGTTTCGCTTTTTTACAGGCTGGCAGTCCGGCGGCAGGAGCGGGCATCAGGTTCTGCCACAGGCCATTCACCATTCTTCCTTACTAGGGTAGATGACCCCACTTTTGATATATCTATAAAGGGTTTGGGGCAGATTCCGATCCAAACAGGACAAATGGGCATGAAGGAGGCCTTCATTCGGGATTATGAGGCAACCAGGTGTTCAAGAGGGTCTGTCGTATTCAAAAACCCTATAGACCTACCTGACTTACCGGAAACGAGGCAGATGAGCTTGAAGCTTGACTTGTTCGTGCTTCCTGAGGTTCTAACGAAGACTCCTGTAAAATGTAGGGCATAAGGCTTCAAGTGATCAACTAGCAGCCCAGCAGATCCACAGTAGGTATGCTATAGGGGCTTCTCAAGATGGTTGTTTTGTTGGCGGGCTGGGTGTCCTGCGGATCAAACCTATTTCGCCACATACTTCAGGAAGCTCTGATATTCAACTGTGAACCCTCCTACGCGGACATATGGTCCACCGGGTTCTGTCACGAACCAACCTTGAACATGACTGAGCAATGCCTTCTGGGGTTGTCAAAGCTAGCCGGTATCTGCCAGTCTGCCGTGCTTTCCAATGTCACAGGACTCTACAGTATGAGCCTTATGGGAATCACACTTCAGCCTTGAAACCTCCTTAGCCTCTATGGACCTCGTAACGTCCTGATATCCCCAACTGCCTGCTTACATTCCTGCTCTCACCAAGTTGCTGCATCTGCGACACCAACAGTCGGCGGTGTAATGCAATTGCTGCCTACGAGCAGAACGTCCCAAAGCTTGGGCTCTGTTAGATCTATGTCTTCTTGTAACTGCGCTATCTACGTATAATACAAAGCACTTGTGTAATCTGTCAGTGAGTGTTACTTGGCTATGACTTGGGTTTTCATTGCCTAGGTACTGCTGCTAGTAAACTTGGCACTAACTTGCTGGAACCTGATCTGCAGATTGCAAACCCTGAAAGCCCCAAACCCCTGGACCCTGTACTTGCCGGTGGTTAGGAGGGAATGAAGCATGTAATCCCTATATAACCCCTATAAACTACATTCCCTACTAACATCCAGTAAGTATAGCCCAAACACTATTGAGCCCATGGCCCTCTGGCGCATTGAAGCAAACTCGGCCCGGCCTTTTCCTGCTGTGAATAACAACCATAAGCCCTAAAAACCCGTATAGTGCCCCTTCAGTAGATAGAATCTGGGACATATGCGCTGATCTTTTTATGATACTGGGGGATGCCACGAGTTATGTACTGAAAGGGGGACTGAAATCCATAACCCCAAACAGAACACAACCTTAAACCCACCCCTCAACCCGCATCCCTAAACCTCTATCCCTAAACCTCTAACCCTAAACTCTAACCCCCCCCTTAATCCTAAACCCTTATCCCTGAACCCTAATCCCAAACCCCCAAACCCTAAAGAGAACAGAAGCAGATCTGGCCTGTGGATAGCGCTGCTCGGCTACGAGCAGCTTATCCCGTCTCAGCAGAAGCAGCAGTGACCTTTTTGGGATCTCGGAGACCAGAGGAACCATCTTGGGGCATGTGAAGAACTAATCCTGTGTTTGCTCCTTGCATCTCAGAAAACTCTGCACATGGATGGCCTGGATTTGGGATGTTCAAGGTAGCAGCATGGAGCGAAGGGCTGTAGAGCTCAGGAATCACCCGTCGGGTCACGTAATGCTATCATCCCAGCAAGAGCCAGAATCATTTCGGTGCCCACTATATGGGCTAACTCAGTAATCGTCGCTGTATGTCGCTGTGCCTTCAAGTGCAACAAATGCTTGCGCTCACTGACCTACATCGGAGGGATTATGTAGGGCTGCAAATTCAGGAATAAGGGCTAGGGATCCGCATGGCCTTCCCTAACCAGAAACAAGCTAAAGCTCACATACGCGGGTGGCTGCTATGCGCTATGCTCGTGACATACTTGGGGGCACTCAAAGCACTTGCCTTTGTCCATGAATAGGGGGCCCCCTTCCAGCAAGAATGGGACCCGTGCTTCAAAACAAACTGGTGCCTAGGGCAAAACCGTCGAGTCACGGCGTGTCTGCTATGAGCGACCAGGTATGCAGCAACGGCCCATACAGCGCGGCCTCTCATCTGGAAGGTGTTTAGGCTTGAGGCTCCAGGACTTATCTTTGTCTTTTCTAATTGTAGAAGACACGGGCTTTGGGAAAATTATCATCATATCATATCACAAATGTTTGTGATTCCTTGGAGGGGCGTGTCACCATCAGTCTTCACCTTTCCATAATCGGAATTGTAAACAGCTCTCCATCTCCATTCCAGGCTTTCTTTTATTCTGCACCCTTGCTCCAAGCTGAACCACCATGCCTTGAGAACATTGAGCTTCTGCTTGCTTCGTTTGATGGACATTGAAGAGCAAAAGACTGCTGAACACACTGCGCACAAGTGCCCGTTCCGGATGATGGAAGGTACGCCGCTTTAACAAACTGGTGCGGCCTCAAAAGCTTCTATGATCACGCTTCTCGAAGCTCGCCGGGCTGGGCATCCATGGAAAAGCGCTGCAATTTATGGCTTTCCAACGATAGGTAGGCCCTTGGGGGATCTTAGGTATATGGGTGGTTGTCAACATTATGCTCCCTGTTTGGATCCCTGGTATAATACGGCACTTACTATTTGGGGTACCCAAAACGGGACCATAATGTTGACAACCACCCATATACATAGGGGATGACTCAGGGATTAGGGCGACCCTTGGCTCATGGAAGAAGCTCGATACTCAGTGAGCCCTTCCCGGGACTCGGAAAACGGAGGTTTTGGTTTGGGGTGTAGAGGCAGGGGGAGTAAAAGAGCGAATTTGGGTCCATCATGTCAGACCTGGACTAAATTTGTAGTATATCCTCACTAGGTCCCCCCCCCCAAACCCTATATATTCCCCTATAGGTCACCCCCCAACCTAAATTCAGTCCGTAGGTCATGTCCCAAGTGAAACGTGTGGATGTGAGAACCTCGCAAAGGAGATCGCCATCCGACACCGGCTTCCCACGGCGCGCATTCGCCTGCCTCAGATTCAGGGATCAAACAGAAATAAAATAGCAGCAATACCAGTAATAACAGTAACAACAGTAATAGTAATACTACTACTAGTAGCGTTAATAATGCAAGTTATCTTAACAGAAATGATGATCAATTGAGAATAACATCAAAGGTGGGCTGCAGGTTCTGCAAAGCTGTTGTTGGGAGGTCAGGGGATTCGGGGGCGGCTCCACTGAAATGGTGAATCCTGATTCGTGTGCGGCCCCTCAAATCCCCCAAATAAGTAAAGCTCTTCAACAACTATTCAGTAGCCCACATGTGTTCTGGGGTTGCCAGTTAAGTCAGGGTCGTCTGTTTGGTCTGTTTGTACTTGGGATCTGAAGTGATGAAACTTATGTAGAAAAGCTCCCACTGTTCTGTTGTGAGATTCAATTCTCGTCTCAGAACCCCGTTTATGCTTCACAGGACTACTTTGAGCCCTTCATTGACAATGTCTAGATTCTCCTTGTCCAGTTGGCCGAACTGTGCTCGTACAGGGACACGTGCAACCGAATCTTGTAATTAGTCCTGATCCCTTCCCTCCTTGTACAAAATGCATGGGAAGACAACGATCCCTCGTTCGATTATAGAACGTCTCGTCTTTGAGGACTTGATTGGGGGGGCCACGCCAGTCAGGATCCGACATCAAACTCCAGTTTGGCCAGAAAGTTGCCCAAGACTCCCTGGTGGCCCTAAACTTGGTGGAGGTCGCGATCCTTGTCATGGGAGCATCTAAGCGAACTTGCTCTCAAACCACCACGAAGGTTTTGGATGCTGGCAAGCTACTGTCCAAAGATGCGCTTGATGTTGACATCCACAGCAATTTCACCTCAAGGCACAGGATCTTTAGGGAGATGTCATTGTGCCTCGTTAGCGAGCAGGAGCAGAGAGGCTTGTCGGGAATGCTCAGCCCTTGCCCAAGTTTAGGACAAAAGGAGGCGGCCCTGGAAATTGCATGGCCTTTCTAAAACAACAAACATGTTCAAGCATTGTTGTAAGACGTGGCAAGCACTGAAGCTACTTTCTAGCTTCGTGCGCGCCAACACCAAGACGTACTGTATATGTTGCAATGTAAGAACCCCGCGCAGCACACGCCTATACGAAAAAAATCTCGCAAAGCCTGGCTAAGAAAAGTTCAATAACCTCTATGGGGAGACAACACCCATGCACGCGGCACACCACAAAAAAATGTCGCGAACATCTAATGAACGTTGTTCAGGCCACCGAGTTAGAGTTAGCCAGTATTCCCCAAGCATGTGGCTTGTTGAGGGGGAAAAATTGCCAAGGCCATGACATCAAATTCAAACCCAGGCCCAAAGCTGAATCAATCTAAACCCTAAACTAGACCACAAATCTTGGCCTGGTCCAAGCACGATGCCGCGCTGGCTGCCGTGCTGGATCTGCAACGCGCCGATGACAACGATCTTGGCCACATGCACGTTGCAGGCGGACAAATTATATGGCCAAACATACACAGTCGAATATCAGCAGCGAGAGCACATCCTCCTACCATCTACTCGCAAGTCAACTGCGATAGCAGGAGGCATATAATGACATCACATGATGCAGCTTATAGGTTTTAGGGCTCTAGTTGCCTAACATGGGCTTAGATTTTGAGTGGGCTGCTCAGGCTCCGAGTTTCAGCTAAAGGGATTTAGGGTTTATGCGAGGCATCTTCGGGAAGCATCATGCGTAAAATGAGAGCTTCCTCACAACAAATGGTATCGCCTTACAACTGATGCGGGCCTTCGCCCAACTTCTTTCATGACACATTGGGTGTGATTACTGTTGCTGTGGCTGATTTTCCTACTGTGAAAGCCAGGGAACGTATAGACCTTCTGCCGCCAAGCCTTCATGGAAAACCACTTCGCGCGCCTTCACCTCGGCCAGGCATGTCCAATTGATGCGAGTGTTCCTAACAATGGGGGTACATCTGGACCTATAGGGCTTTAGGGATACGTAGGGTTGACAAGGCGATTGCGCGTACCGTTGGTGAAATTTTGTGAAGCTCCCGCGCAAGTTCCTGCTCTGAGCTTTATAAGGTTCAGCATCGCTGGTCGCGAATGCAAGACGTCAAGGATGAAGTGCACTGCCCTACTGCCAATGCAGATCCGAAGAGAGACTGCATGCAGCAGGCTTCGAGATGCTGGCTTGGAATGAAGAGCATCCACCATTCTATGCACAATCATGTGTTTTTCCTGTGCTTGTGTTGAGTTTGCCAGGCTAAAGCTCAGGCAACAAGGATTGCAGACTTGCCCAATTAGGTGACATAAGAGCACAGGAGGCCATAATCGCAAATGTTCTGTCTACATATGGTAGTTTCCCAAAATAGGAGTACCCCAATATGGGCCATAATCCTCATTATGGGTTTTTGGAACCGCCATATCCCAACCATCCCCGGCCCAGAGCATGTCTATTTCCGATGTCATCCCCTCAAGGGGCTCCTTGATTTTAGTAGCCTTGATATTTTTGCCGTTGTCATTATGACTCCTTGAACCATGAAAGATATTCCTAAATTGACAGGGGATCTAGCTCAAAAGAAACATATGAACTGCGATTCTAGACCTTTGTAGAAATTCATCTTCCAAGTCCTACGAACCATCCCCCAATATGCCTTGGTCCAGCGGCTGGGATCTGCTCCAGCAGATCCACCAAATCCTTGCTGGGCACATCGTATGAGAATTCAGCGAAACAAACCGGCATACAACTTGCCCAGATTTTCCAACCAAATTATGTAGAGCTGCCGACAGGACTTGAGAGTAACTTCGAAATCTGACCCACGGATCTAATGGTGCTCTTGCAGGATTGAGAGGAGTGCACACCCCTCTGCGCAGGGGGTCTGAGCACTAGATAGATGGGGCAAACGGCAGGGATTTCTAAGGCTGGGTTTGTCCATCTAGGCCTTAGCTGAGGCGATATGACACAGGTCGGCCTGTGCCTGATCTTCCCCATGGTAAAGTGACATCCTAGGCAATCATAGGTTGCGTGTGTCCATGTTTCATAGAGGAATAGACTGGACGCAAGGCCTTGACTCCCGAGAACATGCGATTAGCTGCTTAGCTTTGCTGAGTCGTGGGAGTCTGTAGTGCACGCAAGGAGGCAGTTTCCAGCAATGACATCATCTGTCTTTGCGGGGGAAGTGCTAATGCCTTTACACAGCGCATCAGCCCTTGATGGTACCATGCATCTTGCTTCTGCAACTACTCCGAAGAAGTATAAAGCTTTGAAGGGCGTGTGGCCTTACTCGAAGACAAAACACTGCATGAGCAGAGCCCCGTGTGCCGTCGACAAACCTTTTCTACACATTGCATAAGTTGTTTGCAAAATCATACATAAACACTCAGATCATCCAACCTACCAAGGACCAGAAACTTCAAGCATGCACATCAAACCCAGCTATTACTGTATAAAACACAGTTTGCACTTCATGTTCCACTGTCGTTTCCATTTGGCTCTCAATTATGTTCTTAACCTTAAGCCGGTATAATTGGTAGGTTTTAACTGAATTTGTGTCAGAAAATGTATTAATCAGTGGACCTCCAAACTGGACACCAAATACATACACCCACCAATACGCCCCAGGAACCCTCCGTAATGTCAGCACAAACCCATAATACAAGCCTGACTTCCATCCTCAAGATGCTTTAGGGTTTAGGGCTGAAGGAAAATAACAAGGTAGTTGTAACTGCACTTGTGACCCCATAAGGCCCCAAAGTCCCCTGATGTAGTTAAAATTTGTCTATGATTCCCCTAAACATCCAAGCAGGCGGGTCTGACCCCTAAACCCTAAATCCTGAACCGTAAATCCTGAATCCTAAAACTTAAACGTACGTGGCACTTAGGACCCCTACTAAGGGTTAACCCTATTAGGTACCTAGAGTGGGAATATAAGGAAAGAACCCTGAAGGGTTAAGGGTCTAAGGTCCAAGCTAAGTCCCAAGAGAAACTTCAACCCAACCAGGTCCTGCAAGCCGGAGCCAAGGATTCGCGTCACGGCTGAAGAGATCCCCGCACTATCGAGCCTGGCTTTTTAGGGGTTAGGGTTTAGGGTTCAGTATTAGGGTTTAGGATTCCGGATTAGGATTTTGGGTTCAGCGTTTCGGACTTAGGCTTTGGATTTATGATTTAGGGCTTGGATTTAGGGTTTCGGGTTAGGATTTAAGGCTTAGGATTTAGGGTTTTGGTTGTAGGGTTTAGGCCTGTCAAGGTTATACGGAGTTGCAAGGTGCTATGCTGGGGTTCTATGGCCATATGGGGCATTGTCGGGTGAGAAAGAGGGTTATAATGTTATAGTGCACAGAAATGATGGACAAGAACATGGAAACGATTACGGCAGAAAAAACATGAGTAACCTTCCTCAGAATATGGAAATCCCTGAATCCACACCCTAAACTCCAAACCCGAAGCCCCAAACCGACCCAGAGGGCCCTTGCATGACCGCAAGGGCCATCTTCCAGGCCTCGTTTCGGGTTTAGGCTTTAGGTCTTGGCTTCAACTAGCTTGCTTTAAGCGACTCAAGAAACCAACAACCTCAATTTCCGAACACCCTCAAACTTATGGAACGCATACAACATGCCAACGCATGCACGCATTTATGGATGTTCCAACTAATTTCGCTCAAGGTTTTTAGCAAACATCTACTTAGGCCCTAAAGCCTGCTCACCCCTGACCTCGGCTCGTCCGGCGCAGGCAAGGATGGGTTGTTGCTGGGACGCCCCAGCAGCTGCATGTTCAAGTCCGCCTGGTGCATCTCCAGGTACCTGCTGCACCAACTTGTAAAAACCCAACCTTTCATCCCGTCTTGCTAGTGTGCGGAAACACATGCAGCATGACCTCGAGAGGTCTCTGATTGCTAAAGTTGCGGTAAAGAGTGCTTTGTTCCTATAGTTGAATAGGACTTTGCCGCCAGATAGGGGGGGTCAGAATCTACAGTCAATCCTTCTCGTCGGTTTCATATTTGACCTGATCAGACGTATGATTTTTTGCATCTGTGTATATGAGCTATAATCTAAACTCTTAGTATCCCCCTTAATAAACCCTATAATATTCCCCTACAGAATCCTCTACATAACCCCTTTAAAGAATTCAGACTATAGCTCATATGACTCCCAACTTGCAACAACTGAGAGATGTTTGCTCGTGCGTGCTGCACTGCGCTTTTTGCTTGCAGTGGCTAGCCTCCAGCTTAGCGAGTATTTGCAATTTTTTAAACCTGCCGTATGTTGATTTCTTATTACTACTACTAATACTATTATTACTAGTAGGAGGCGTCGCGATGCTAATTGATCGCAGTGCTTTTGGTGCGCATAAGTTTGGGCGAAGTTGCAAGTGTATTGCGTTTTGCAGCACTTCGCGGGTGCGGACCCATTGACGCCGTGGAAAGTTGAGGGGCAAAAAGTACGGGGAACTACTTGTGGGTTGATTTATCAGGATGATAATCGATGGGCGCTTATGCTTTGCAAGATGGAGTAGAATTTGTCTTCGTGCGCTTCTATAATGTTCGGACTGCTCGTGTGAAGCTTTAAGGGGTTCATCGAAAACCGTAAAAAACTAGTAATTAGTTTTGGATGTTTTTACGCGTTGCCAACCCTGCACAGAACCGCCTTTGCAGAACACTCACGCTGGTTGTTCTTCCCATCACCTTCGTCTCTTACTTTGCAGTGACAATCTCAGGCTGTGGTACTTTTCCTTGATGGCCACGGGCAAGGTTTGAAACAAGGACATGTCAAAGCGCTTCCTGCCCCAGCAACAGCGGTGGCCCGTCTCGGTCATGCTGTGCCAGCCAGTGCATACCAAGAATACTTCGCCGACTTTCTTGAGCAAAAATTCCATGCCACTGAGTTAGAGGGTTGCACCCCAGCAACAGCGGTGGCCCGTCTCGGTCATGCTGTGCCAGCCAGTGCATACCAAGAATACTGCGCCGACTTTCTTGAGCAAAAATTCCATGCCACTGTGTTAGAGGGTTGCAAATTGCAAGGGCGTTGCCGCATTTGCCGGGGAACTACATTTCCCAGTTTGTATCAGGGATCTTTCCCGTTCTGATGTTCAGAAAGGAGCATTGCCCTTTGCTGGATGCATTTATGAGATTTGGAGTCTTGACAAGGGGCTACCAGCGAATTTAAACTTTTTGGACGGAAAACATAGCGGATCCAAGGAAAACACCTGAAAAACAAACGAGCATCTTGCCGCTGTTATGGCAGTGCGGTGTGCGCGCGTGCCCACACTCTGGACAGATGCTCACCAGATTTCTGGTCTACATGGCCATATGTGCAGAAACTGCCCGGGTATATCGGGAGTATGGGGGCTGGGTGGAGCTTCTTACATCTGTAGAATTCAAGATGCAGCCCACAACAATATTCAATAGTCAGGAGCTGCAGCAGAAGCAGAAGAGCAGAGGAACAGAAGGTCTAGCTGTAACAGGACACTTGCAGCAACCAGCGGCAGCAAGCAATAAAGATAAGACTTTGCCATTGGAATCAAGATAAAACAAACGTTATTAACCCCCACCCCACCCACCCCACCCACCCCAACCCCCCAATCCCCACAATACGCACTTGGACACACGATCGATTAAGTGCGCGCAGGGTACTACTGCTGCTGCTGCTGCTCCTACTACTACTACTACTGCTGCTGCTACTACTACTACTACTACTACTACTACTGCTACCACGACTACTGGTACTATTACTAATAGTATTACTGTGAGTATCACTCTTACTACAAGCACTACTTTTATTCGTATTATGAATTTCAACCCATGGAGCCCATCTGGTCCTGGCCTAAACTTCAAGATGTGGTCCTCGCACCATTCCAAGGCTTCGTCGATAGACTGGAAGATGCAAACAGGCAGGCCTGGCAGTTCAGAATGCGCTTGGGGGTGGGGGGGGCCATTGGGATGCACTGCTTGCAGCTGTCCCTGGCCCGTGTGGGAGACTCCCAGGATTCCCCATGCTCCAGGTTTCTAGGCTGCTGTTAAGAAATTAAACCAAATTAATAAGGGTATTTAGGGTATATAGGCTATGTAGGGTTTATGGTTCAGGATTACTAGAATAAGGACACCCCATTATGCACTACATATATCTTCCCCCATTTTCCATTTCATGTTCCATGTTCTTTTCCATTTGATTCTCCATTATAGGGGAATTTGCATAGCGCGCCTGCGCTTCGGACTTGTGTCTCCAGCTGCAGCGGCAGGCCTGGAGGGATGCAGGGGGGCGTAGCGTGCCTTCCACGGGCCAGTAGCCCCAAAGAGCAAACGTGTAGGGATAGGAGGTTGTCACAAATTTTAAGCCTCTCTTCACATCCCCATAGCGGTAAAATTGTTGGTATAAGGAAAAATAAGAAATGATTGTAAGAACCTCCTGCAGGCCTTGAAAGGATTTCAGCTGTACCTAACAATTCCTATCTTATTCTTACCGAACAGGGCTGTCTAAAAGAGTCCGAGATGAGGAACCCATCTCCACAAGCGTGAAGAGGCGTGAAGTGGTGTACTTCTAGGGCTGAGGCAACTAAGCAACTCGTGTTGGTTCTTTCGGCCTACATCCCTGCAGCCCCCTAAACGCTAAGCCTTGAACCCTCATGCCTTCGACTCCATTGCAAATTGCGCTGACCAACTGCAAGGGGCCTACGGCCACAATCTGCACGTGGTTGGGCAGCTTCCGGAAACCGGCAAGCGCAGAGGAGTCGATTGAACCTTAGAAGATTTGAGTGTATGGTTTAGGGTTTAGGGCCTGATCACTTTCAGACACAAGTGTGTGACTTAGCACATTAAAACATGATTTTGTGACTCTACGCATTCAGGGGCTGCGAAATCCTAAGTCCACGGTTTGAGTTGCAGATAGTCAAGCCCTCTGTAGAACCCTAGGGATCCCAATAGCCCAATGCAGTTTAGTATTTACCGACTTTAGGGCCCAATGTAGGTTTTAATATTTGTATACTTGGATTCCTACAGGAATTGAAAGCGACTCTACCGGCTCAAAGTCAGGAACTGCTGCCATTGACTGCAATGTGAGTAGCGTTTTTTTGGTGGTTAAAGCTAGTAAGATTATATTCCTTATATAAAAGACTATACCCCAAAAGGAGGATACAATCATACTCTATATTGGGCACCATAGTATCCCCAAATAAAATCCTACTCATGTGACCTTTCCCTACCCCAGAGCCATCGATCGGCCTCCGGACCTTTGAGAGGATCTTTGGCAACAATTGCGCTGGCCTTTGGTTAGCTAGGAATGAAGGAATGGATCTCTATAGTCATCCCTATATAACCCATTATAGTAGTGTCAATTGTCTGGTCCATCCCTTCATTCCCAGCTAACCAAAGGCCACTGCACTGGCTAGGGATGCTCGAAGGCTCTTCATGTCTCAGCTGAGGGCTCTTGTCGGGATACAGCGCTTATATAGGGGTTATGTAATGTAGGGGAATGGGAGAGACAATGGAAACTACTGTATGGGGTTACCCCAAAGCTCACCGCCAGCACCCTTAGGTCAGCTCTCGCGATGCTGAAGTTCAGAAAAGGTTGCTAACAGCATGCCCTCATGGCATTGCACTTTGGCAAAAGCATCTGAGATGCCCCAGATCACCACAGAAATTCGGGATCGGTATCACAGGTCGTGAAGAACCCACCACTTACACAGCCTCGTACAATCTCTTGTTATTAGCATGCCCAATGTCAGCCTTGCAAGGCCTGTCATAGTCTGCAGCGATGCAAAAGATGCAGCAGACCACGCCATAGTTTTGGGATTCTACCGCGACTCGACAAAGGAATGGCACAGCTTGTACGTCTTATATCAAATCCCGCGTAGGACTTGACGGGATGAGGCAGATCGTTGAGTATGAGCTAACAAAGTTCTGGACGCATGAACCCGTTCTTAGCATAAACAACGCTACTTGTTAGCGTAGGGGCCTCAAACCGGCATTTCCAGATCTAAGGCTGTTATACTGTAGCTACAGATCATAGCCACAGTATTAGGACCTGAAGGGATAGGACTAGTAGAAGCCCAGAAACGCAGGCTCGACAAGTCCAGCAGCAGGAAGCGGCCCTTCTGGAGCCAAGGGTTCACCTAGCCCCGTTGGGCCACGTGTTGGGGTTTCTTCATGGAGCCCTTGATTCAAGGGCCGTCACCCTCCATAGAACAAATTTTCTGGGGACAGTGAGCCTAGTCTGGAGCTTCACTCGCAGGAGAAAATCTTCGGCATACGCCTTATCTCAAACCCGGACGTGGGACCTCTCAGAGACGGAAGTGCACCTGAAGGTCTCAGGGCAATACTTGTAGACCCATGTAGACTTGTGATGTATCCTGGTTTATGCTCCTACGTGCCAGAAGTATGGGTAGCTCACTTGTAGTCCCTGAACCTGCAAGTACTGTGCAGTAAAGTAGCAATTTGATCAGCAAAACTATTGAAACATGCGCTAGCAGTCGCAATGGCGGCCAAATTGGTGGGAACAACATGAAAGAGACCAACATCAGAATAAGTATTCTGGATAAGATTTAGTATCCATCATAATAACACTCTGCGACCCTCGATTCCCTAGACCCAAAAACTAACCTAGACCCCTCACTCCGCTCAAATTCCAAATTCTGAACCCCACCCTGCAAAAAAGTTAGCAGGAAAGCACCTCCGCAAGGATGGCGGCCATAGAGCCGAAAAAGAGTTGGCTGCCTTGGTTCTTCTTCTGATGTTCCCGGGTTCTCCTGACCCCCCCCCCCTAACCCGTTTGGGTTCGCCCTTAATTCAGGCCCTTTAGCGAGAGTTGCGTAGAGTCAATGAAGGCTAGCAAAGCGGGAACCTTGCCGGGTGTAGTATAGAGGGGTGGTTAGGAGGACTCACCATCATGACAGGATACTTTGAATTCATGGAGCTCCCACCTGGACACCCATTACATACACACACCGACATCTCTAGGGAAGCCTATATACTCTCACCAAACGCATAAAAACCCTACCTGTCTTCAAGCTGGGGGCTCGGACATGCTGGCAATCCGCTTCCCCTAAGATCAATCACCTCCTCAGAACCCATGATAAGCTTGAAGGTCTGGTCGGGATTTGGGCATTTATAGCGCAATCACAAACTGTGCCACTCAATAGCCTCAGCTGCAAAACGTCCGGGCCACGACAATGCCTGTTGCCAGCGTGAGGCTTGGGTGCCCGAACCGGGAAAAAACACAGAACGCCGCAGGTGCTGTCTACAGTCTACAAGAGATCTCCTGATGAACTCTCCTGCTTGCACCGCAAGCGAAATACAAATGATGTGGGGACATGGTGCTCAGCAACTTCTTGCAGGTGGGTGCTGAGCCACCTACATGGGCAATGCATTCAAGAAGCAAAAGCATCCCGCCTGGAGCAGTCTTCAGGTACCTTGGCAAGTGCCAGCAGGTTGAGCAGGTTGAGGGTTCGGACGCACTTCGGCAAAGAATCAATGCTAAGGTGTGGGAGGCAACCTTCAAAATCAACCCCCACCTCTTTTGATGCCTCGTTCTGCCACACTCTTCGCGTTACAACTTCCCATTGGGCTCCCTCTTGGCTCAACATCAAGCCATGCTTACTCATCTATTTTAGTCCCTCGTGGAACCATCAAGCGATGCGGATGTCTTGAATGGTAGGGTATGAGATTAGTGTGTCCAGGCACAAGCGATCACCGTTGGGGCGGAAGCGGTTTGAAAACATTGCCGCATCGCCTCTCCAAGTGATGCATAGCTATCACGTGTAGGGAGACCACGTAAAATTGGTGCAGGTCCGTAAACCCTAAAGCCTAAACTGCGGGCAACAAAAAAACGCAGTGTGTTGCGGCGGGCAACAAAACATCGCAGTGTGTTGCGGAGAGACACCCTGCTGCGTGGGGGTTCGGACTAATTAAGCTCCAAAGCTTGATGCAAGTACCAAAGCCAAGGAAACCCGATAGGCCTCAGGATTGTGATGCCCAAGGGAAGAGCTGGCCTCTTAATCTTTATAATGATCGTTTAGGCGCAGAAGCTCGGGGACTGCATGGACCTTTATCTTCCTCCAGCCACATTCCGAGCCCTGAAATGTTTAGGCCTCAGTTGAGGCATCATTCTCGGGATGTGAACCTGTTGCTTTGCTCGTTTACTCGTGTTCTCAATTGTGTCAGAATCATCCTCTCATATGGATGCCTTGCGATAACCATGAGGCCATGGAAGCACACGAACGACTAACAACTCTAACCTTGAGCCGCTACAACTCAAATCGTCATCAACAAAACCTTCGGCGCCTGCTGTGGTCACGAACTCCAGGGGTCCACTCTGCGAGTAGCGCAGCATGAAGTTAAAACCTAAGCATATGGAACTCGGAATGGCCGAAAACATGCAAGAGGGGTTGCAAGATGTAAGCAGAGGGCGGGGTGTTGCGGATTGACCGTTTTGAGCTCCTTGCATCCGGGTTGACTGAAACCTGAGAGCTCGGAAAATCAACCGCAGACTCGAACAAGCCCTGCACCAGACAGGCCACATCTCTAAACACAACCTGCGTTCACAAATCGAGGCCTTGAATCTCAAGCCCACAGGCCTGCAAACCCCCTGCCAGACCTTGCATTTTCACTTCTCCTCCGTGTCACTGCTTTACCCAGCTGCCGCTGCTGCTGCCGTTGCTGCTCATCCTTCTGCTACTTCTGAAACTGAACTAGATGTTATGACCACCACCCCCGCCACAACTATTTTTTTTGCTGCCGCTGCTGCCACCACCCTGGACTACAGAACGTAGACCACATCTCAAGAACCTCTCATTTGAAGGGTTTAGGGCATAAAGCTTAGCATCGAAAAAAAGAAAAAAGACAAAAAATGTAAACAGCTCCTTACTGCAGGGCAGTAACTCCACTTGCAAACCCTCAGAAGCATTGAACCATGGGCACTTAAGTGCCTCGTACATAGAATCCGTATCACAATGGGTTGAATCCGTCTATAACCCCATATAATCCTTCTGTAAGCTCCCCATGCAATGCGCACATAACCCCTGACATACTGGTTCTTGGTAGGGAATAAGGGAATATAATCCCGATATAATCCCAACATACTATATTCCCTTCGTCCGTACCCTCAAGCCTACACCCAAAACCCTACCTAAGCCACTAGCCCAAAACCCTAAGCCCAAAACCCTACCTAAATCCCTATCCCTGAACCCTAACCCCTACAAATATTCTGTTCCGTTCTTCCCTACTAAAAAAAGCAGTACTTGCAGAGTCAGGGGGACCTCAGCAAATGGGTTAAGAATGGGGATAACTAGAGTTACTATGTGGTTTATAGGGTCTATTAACCTACTCCCTAAAGCCTAAACCCTGAACCCCTAACCCCTAAACTTACTAAGTTCCCCTGACTCTCCAAGTAAGCTGATCCATACGGGGAGCTGCACAGTGCGAGTCCAACCAGGATGGCAGGAACCAAATCCGTGGCCAGGTAGTACAGAACCATGGCCTTGGGTTTAGGGTTTAGGGTGTAGGGCTTAGGGCTTGGGGTTTAGGGTTGCTTAGGGTTTAGAGCTTAGGGCTTAGGATTTGAGGCTTAGGGTTTAGGGCTTAGGCTTAATTCCTTTGCCAAACACTTTGCGGGGTTGCCGTATGGGGATGAGTATGCAGGGGAATAGATATTCTACAAGGAGTATGTAAATATGTATGTATGTATGTATGTATGTATGTATGCATGTAGGGAGTATACTGGGGGTATATAGAGTCGTAGGATAGGGCTTATCTTTGAATCATATACGAAGATATGTAAGTTTAGAGCTGGAATAATGGAGAATCAGATGGAAACTCAGAGGGGAACTCAAACGGAGAGTGGGCTTTTGTCAGTTCTGCCAAGAAACGTAAACTAAACTGAGTTACTATGATCTGGATAAACACTGAATATTATTTTCCCCACAGTGGCAACTTGATTTCAGTTCCTTAACAGCAACACTGTGTTGGCTTTTGGTCCCCAGGCCTGGGGAGTTGAAGTTTATCATAAATGTAGATCCCTGCTAGGGTCCGAGAAGTCTGCCTGATTTTGGATGTGGTAGTTTCCATAAGTATATGCTAGTTTCCTTAGATAGAGGACCCCCAATATAGACCCTACAATCCTTATTATAGGGACCCCCCAAAATGGTACCCCTAATTTTGGAAAGCCCCAGATAACAGGGACCCCACTAAGCGGGGGTGCAGTGGTGGGTTCATAGAGCAGGCAGATCAAGTGTATGGCCCATCATTGCAGTAGAAGCGCAAAACCTTCAGCATCTCTCTGTGACCTGTCCCAGAAACCTTCTTGCTCACTCTGTTAACCGTGGCGGATGCCAGGCGCGCTGATGCCATGGAGTTGGGGCAAGGACCTGGTCCCTGGGTCCCTGGGTTGGAAGATGAATCCAGGATGCGGAATTAACTCCACCACGGCAGAGTGTACAGCTTGCGCAAGGCGCATCTGCTTCTCATCTTATCCGGAATCTCAGGATGTATGTGGGCATGTCAAGAGTCAAAAGCCAGGTGCCTTCAATTTCGACCCCTAAAACCTCTGAGGGCTGGGAGCATGGCGCAGATGATGACGTAGTCGCCGCAGGACAACCTGAATTCCAATTCACTTCTGGGGTTTGTGATGACTAATATAGGAGCCTAAATTAAGAGCTCCATCTTCCATGGTAGAAGCTGATGTTGGGTCCTCACAAATCTCCACACACAACCCAATCACGGGGAGAATCAAACAGGGAAAATGAAATGGGCACTAGGCTTACGTAGAGTTTCCATAGGGACATTTACCAGTTGCAAGGTTGAACCATTGTTTCCCGACCTGTACTGCTCTAAGTCTGCAGAGGCCGTCAGTACGCCGAACATTCAGGGATCTTGCTCAAAACGCCTAGTAGCTGAGTCTCCGGGCCCCAAAGAGGTTAACCTTTCAATTATAGCAGGCTTATGTGTACAGAGAGTCGGCTTATGTACATAGACATACATTTCAACGGGTAAAGGCCTCTCAAGCACTAGGGTGGGGTTAAACATATACATATACATATATGTATATATTATACAGACACACAACTTAAGGGTGTAATTAAGGATATCTTCTCATCAGAAAGACACTATGCCCTAGGCCCTATATATCCTTCTACAACCCTATGTAATATAATCCCTATAACGCCCTCTAGAGGAATCCTTTCTCCTCAGAAGGAAAGCTACAAGGGCAGCCAGGTAGCAATGCCCTAGGCTCCCAAAGGCCGTCGAGGATGTAGCCGAAAGCAAGGTGGCAAAGCATGCCTACTTCTGATGGAGTTTAGGGTTTAGGGGTTTAGGGGTTTAGGGGCTTTTTGTGCCTATGATTGAGGGTTCCAGCAGGATTACAAGGGCTTATACAAAGATTTCATGGGACTCTAGATAAGAACTATAAGGGATTATACAGTGATTGTCATGCGCAGTATTCTTGAACCCAAGGCCGGGGAAGCAAACCGCGCGTGGGAGAAAAACCCGGCCCAGTCGCCTACACCGACAACTCTGCTGATCCCAAACCGCAAAAAGAGAAGCAACGCCCCGAACAACCCTAAAACCCTAAACCCCTAAACCCTAATTAAACCCCCAAACCCTAAACCCTAAACCTCCGAAGAAGCCAAACCCAGAGCCCAACAGAAAAGCACGCAGCACAGACCCAACCCAGTTGCCTCCACCTTATAGGAGGGAAGGTTCAGGGTTTCGGGCTGTACTCCTTACCTAGCGAGATGGGTTTAAAGTTCATAGAAACGCAGTTAAACGCCGACCAATGTTTGTTCTAACCTTGGAGCAGGCTATATCTAAGGCAACAAAATAAGCCCAGGGCTGCATCAGGAAATCGGCCAACAGGCTCAAATGGCGTGATGGTGAAGGGGTTCCATGTTAGCACGGGGATGTTACTCCCTCGATTTTCCCCGGTGAACCCATGCACTCCGTGTGAAGCCCTGCATGGTACAGTCTAAACTCCTAGTATCCCCCTTAATAACCTCTATAATACTCGCCTATATAATCCCCTATAAGCCCCCCTTTGAAGTTGTTTGGCCACATTCTAAGAGCACCGGCAAAGTGTTTAGAGAGGGACTGTTGTTTCACTAGTGCGTTTCATTATAGAGGGAGTGAGGTAGGGGGAGGACTTAGAAGGGGACGCCCCAGAATACACTGGGCGGAGCAATGTGCAACACTGTCGTGGCACTGGCTTCAGGATCTCCCGAACCCTCCTAACTTACCAAGAACCCCGCAATTTCCGTATGCATGGCTTCAACTTCACACGCTGGCTGTGCGTTGACAATTTTGGGGCCGGCTAGTGGGACTGCCTACGTGCAGGAAGTACCTGAAGCAAACCTTCTACATTTCCTACTCACAGTGAACCAACACAGTGAGTGTAGAGGACTTGAGGTTCAGATGCATACGGCTGCCCAAAATAAACCCCCCTTTAAAAAGTTCAGACTATAGCTCACATAGCAAAAGCATCCCAGCCTCCAACCACAAACTTGGGCACCCCGGCCGTTAGGATTGGTCCAAGCCAAATCCTCAAAACACTGGGCTCTTGAAATGGGAGTTCTCAAATATACATGGGTTTAGCAGCTTTTGACTTAGGGCTAAGGGTAAGTTGTAATATGCCATATAGGAAACGCAATGCGGGGTTTATGCAGGGATATCAATGAGGATTAAGGCTTTTCAATTGTCAAAATTATGGTCCCCTTTGAGGGGTACCCTTGAGGCTGTAGTATCACAGGGAGCCCAAGAGAGAGCGTAATCTTGAAAACCTACCATGTACACAAGGCTGAGAAATATAGGATTGTTTGAGGAATTTAAAGGGGGGTTATACATGATATCCGAGGTTTAGGAGTTCTAAAAGCATAGGGCTCCCAAAACAGGGAATCCTTTTCTGGGATCTTAGGATGACAAGGTTCTGGAAACTGTTGGACGGGCTCCATTGGGAATCCTGGGGACGTGTTCACAGGCAAGCAGAGGTTCTGAGAGCATAATGCGGCATCAGCGGGCCCCGGGAACCTGGTTTTGTACCAATGAAGACCGGTGATTAGTAACCCCCCTCCTTTTAAAGGCCTCGATGTTAGGATCCCAATTAGAATCCCTATTCAAGGTAGGGGGTTTATTCATCATGGGTCTACATCAGCTGACTGGAGGCTCTCTCTGAATTGATTATAGTCATCCCAGTCTTCTCTCCTTGGTTTGGCCTTAACTTCGAGAGGCTCATCCCTTGTGCCCCGGCCCTAAACCTACCTGATCAGGGACTACACTTTGGTTTGGGACATCTGAGATGTGAATACAATCTGTGGGCTCTTACCTCAGTTTCACATAGCCAGTGGGAAATCCAGCAGTGAGGCTACGCTTAGAGCCCTTATATAACTAAAACATACCCCGGGATCCGGTCTTCACCAGGCCCCAAGCCCTAAACCCTATAAACCCTAACAACCCACTCACATTAATGCTGGGGGGTGGTGTCTATGGGCTGGCCCAAGATTCCAAAGCACGCAGAGGCCGGCCGAGACAAGACCAGTCTCGCGGCCGGTGCCTCCAGCATCCACATTCCTTGAGTCTCAGGCTGGCTTAATATGGGTTATTATGGGTTCATATTGGGGTAATATTGGGATGATGGAAAAGAAAATGGAAATTACTATAATGTTGGGGTTATATTGGTATAGCACTTAGCTTTAAATGTAGGGTTCTCTCCGCTTGAGCATGTGCACCGCTCACGTCCCAGCTCTACCCCCCCCAAAATCAGCTGAGACTTTAGAGTCGCAACTATCTCGCACTCCAACTTTTAAGGTCCGTTGATGTGCAGTAACAATGAGGCCACGAATCCAGAGAATCACGGAGGTATGACGCCTAGTCGACGCACGGGTAAAGCATTCAAGCTCCAAACAGGCAGCCATGGCGTGTCAGCGCCTGCGCTCAGGTGTCCCGTGCACCCACAAACCCTGAAAGTGGAACCCGCTGTGTCGCTTCCAGAAACCTACTATGATTCCTGTATTCACTGTGCTCTGTTTGCAGGTTGAGCATCAGACGCGTTGGCGACAGTGAGACGTAGGACACGCTGCAAAACAGGGAGCCCGCCAACGAAGAGCATCCAGCAATTCGAAACCTTGCCGGTGGGTGTTGAATAGGTTGATCGAAATTCTATGACTTTAGGGGAGGGCGGCAGGGCTTAAAACACGGGGATGTGTAGTGGGATAAGACCAGAAGCTGCAAGTAGGTTTCCATGCAGGAGTATGACCAACATTCATACTGCCACATCCTGTTTAGGGTACATGAAGACATGCACCTTGCTGTCTTGTGTCGAAGCTGGTCAACGAAATTGGAGAAAGGAAGCGTTAACACTCCCCAACTGCTTGGCTAAACCCATTTCAGACAGTACACTGCCCGCGACACAGACTCTCGATATCCTACAGGCACCATGCTTGATGCATCATAGTCTACGTATACCATACCCTGCACGTGCTCCCTAGCCTAAGCACGCCAAAGAGCTCATCGTCCATCTTGATGGCTTTCGTGGGCGTCATCAGCTCCAAGGGGAGAAGCGTGGTCATCAAGTCCACGACTAACATGACGACCCTGAGTACTTCTTTGGGCTTAATGACACTGCTGTTCCTCCACCGCCAAAGCCCTGCCTGAACGCTAAGTGCCAATCCCAACTCCCAAAACGAGAAAGCTCTGACTTACTGGTAGGGAATGGGGGAATACATTATATGAGGATTCTATACGGATTATATTCCCTTAGTCCCTACTCAGAACCAGTAAGTTAAGACAATCAGTGCAAGGCTCAGGGAGAGCATGGACCCGAGCTGAGATCCAACCACCGGCCACCGAACTTCATCCAGCTGTGGCATGCCTGGGAAGGGTTTACCCCAGGCCTCCTTAACATAGGAATTACAAAGACATTACATAAGGTGTGGTTTTGGGTAAAGGATTATAATATACTACTAGAAAGACATAGGAGGTTCTGGGTTTATGCTTTCGGGGGTTAAGGGCTTAAGCAGCTATGGGCAATGCCTTTGTCCTGACCCTCGAGTATTCCGCCATTTCGGGGAGCAAATTTAATGCGAAAGCAATTTAGCACCAGGGCGCAATGATGATGCTAAATGGTGGGGAAACGAGTACATCTACTCCTGAGGAAAACCTAATAAGCCATGCAGATTTTGGATGAACAGTAGAGGGTTCAGAAAGTCTTGTGCCTTGGCCGTGAGTACAGATGATCGATTCGAGCTTTCTTAAAGTGACTTCAGCCTTCCCAAGCCTAACCAAGCGCTTGTTTTGAAGTCCAAACAGATACACTTCACCAAATTTTCCACCTGGTCATCACACAGAACCTACAACCATCGCAAAGGCCCTCCCATGGTTGATGAACGGATGGAAGAAGGCGATGGATGCAATCAAAGCTCCCTTCAGCTGCAACGGCGCCATGGGTTCCCACAGCCACCCTGCGCAAAGGTTGGGGTTGAGGGTTGCTGCAACTTAGATCTCATGAGGCTCGGTGTCACACTAGTTAACGCTGACAGGCTTGTCCGGCACCTTGCCTAGAATCAAAGAAATCCAACCGGCTGTCAGCCCAGAGCTCTAAGCCAAAATTATGTTGAAAATTGTAAATCCCAAGCCGTAGGCGTCACAGCTTTGATCTGCAGCCCGCAGAACCTCAACATAACCTGAGCGAACATTTTTTTCCTGTGGCAGCCTGCTTCCCGCGCGGCCGTGAGATTCTGGCCCAAGACACCCAGAGCCATGAAAAAGCCGAGAATCCTAAGCGCCACAGCTTTCAGAAGACATGGCGGTTGTCGCAATGGCTGTGACAACAGTGGTGATGGCGATGATGCTGATGATGGTGATAGAGACCGTGATGGCGACTATTCTTTAGATGCTAGTGGTGATAGCTGCATTGATGAAGATGAGGATGATGATGATGATGATGATGACGATGATGATGGCGATGATGATGGTAGTGGCTATCATGACACCCACGCGTTGCGTGATAACAACAATGACGCTGTTCGTGCACATCGTTAGCGTGAATCGGCTTGTGGTCGGGATTTCCCTGCGACGCTTCTTCTGCTTATATAAAACGCAGTTTCCATTTCATATTCCATGTTCTTTCCCTTCGATTCTCGATTATTGGGGTAGTATATCCCTAGACCCTATATAACCCCCATAACATAAGCCCTTCCAAGGGACCCTATGACATCGTTGCAGCCCAGGACTATTGAATGCAAGGTGCCCTACGCCCTCATGGCCAATACACTGGGTGGAAGTAAGCCTAGGTATAACCCGCTACACTCTGGACCCTATTTATCCCCATATACCCTATAACTCCTACTAGTCTCCATGTTATTTTCCATTCCTTCATTCCCTGCAGTTGATGACTGTGGGCCTGCACCATCTCTCGCCGAGAGTGTGATGAATTAGGACCAAGTACAGGAGGGAAGTTTTCAATAGGATGGGCGAAAAAAGCTTATAGAAGGGGTATAGGATAATGTATATAAGTTGTAAGGATAATGTATATAAGGTGTATACGAAGGGTATATGGGATAAAAAAGGGGTATATAGGGACCATGGGAGAACTATATGAGGGTAGTTGCCTTAGAATCAAGGTCTTAGGCTCCGACCTTGGCTTGCAAAAGCCAATGTGCTGAAGTTCAGTTGCGGTAGGTTACATGGGGGATTTTAGCGGGGATGTAAGGGTTATATAGGGGCCACATGCGGATTGGATAGGGATAAACCTTTCTTCACAAAAATACACTGGGCTTACACAGCGTCTTTTGAAGATTGAGTGCAAGTCTAGCTATGCTATCTGGCCAGCAGCCGGACATGGCAGTTCAGTTGCCACAAACCCAGGTGTCAATGCATCAGGCCTCAAAACCTGTACTCGCCATCCCTCACCGAGCTACCCCTCTCTCTACTGTGTTCTCCGAAATCTGGGTTTCTGTTAGGGAACTTTTTTGAAATCCTATAATAAAGAAATCCCAGTATTTCCTATGTACCCATATTAGGGTAAGTCAATTCGAGTTCCTTAACAGCAACCCAGTAGTTCTCATAGTCACTGGAAAACTGGGTCGGTATTACCCCTATATTAACACTATATAACCCATATATACATATATATAATCCCATGTAACCCCCAGTAAGAATGTAGGATTGTCACCCTAAACCCTAACCCTAATGCTAGTTCGACAGGCAAGCTGCTGAAAACAAAGGCTGGCTGGCAGCACAGCAAAGTGCCTCCTGGGCCCAGCAGCTTACTGCCAGCATCCTTACACTACTGGGGCATAGTAGGGAATATATGGGAATCTATTATACAGGGGTTACATTGACCTAGGAATTATATTCCCTTATTCCC